TTCGATCAACTGCTTGGCTGCGACATGACATTACACTTCTGTAACTCTGTCATATAAAATCACTTTATCGGAAAGGGAAGTCGCGGGGGCCAGCTGCGGGGGTCAGCCCCGGGGTCCACCAGGGGCCAGCCGCGGGGGCCAAGTGTGGTTGCAAACCCCCGACATTTTTAATTCCTAGGATAATAAGCAAAAAACAAACAAAAAACCTATGGGGTTGTAGGGTTTGAAAAACCATACATCCTCATATTTTTATTTTATTTTTTGATGTTTTGTGATTATTTAAAAATAGAAAACGAAAAAAACAAGTATTAAAATTAAAAGAAATATAATAAAAAAAGCTAGGCTGCCAGCTGTCCAATTGGGAGACGTCTCCCCCCGACGTCTCCGGGAGACAGTAAGGGGGGAGTTGTCCGGAAAATCGGACAATGACTTTTTTGCCAAAAAAAAAAAAAACAGGGGCGTCTGCGCACCACTACGGAAACCCCCAAAAACATTTTCATGCTGTTCTGAGCAAAAACGAAAAAAGATTTCTGTTCCGGTGTGCAAGGTGTGATGGTGGGGTGTTCTTAGTTCATTGATTGATTTCGAGGGATGGATCTATTGATTGATTGTATTGATTGATTGATTGACTGATTGATTGATTGATTGATTGATTGATTGATTGATTGATTGATTGATTGGTTGATTAGTGAGTGATTGAGTGTCGGGAAAACAAAGCAAAGAGGGGGGGGGACATTGTGACGTCAACAACCATGGCAAGAATGTGGGGATGGCGATGCGGCTGCAGAGGCGAGGGAGGATGTGGCATAACATGAAACGAATGACGAAGATGAAGAGGAGGAGGAGGATAAGGCGGGGGGAGGATGACTGGAGGACAGCACAGATGGACGAGGACGACGATCAATCAATCAATCAATCAATCCATCAATCAATCAATCAATCAATACAATGAATGAATGAATGAATGAATCAATCTAGCAATCAATGAATCAGTCGGGATCCCGATTGGTTCAATAGTCCGCAGCAGATGTCCATGGAAAGGTGAAATTTCTCCCGCAGGCCGTTTGGGACCCCACTCTGCCCACAGACCGAAGATTGCGGCTTGGAAAAATAGAGTCTTGTGTTTGCACATAGTCCGCAGCCTGGAGAAGTCTCACGGGAGGATTCCTCGCCGCAATTTTGTGCCAACTCTAGAGGGTAGGGGGAAGGGCGTGTCGTTCCTTTTTTTTTTTTTGGAAAAGTCTCGGAAAATTCTCAAGGGAGGCAGAAGCCAATATAGACCAAGAGTGCCACAAAAAAAAAGGAAAAACAAAGAAAACAAGAACAAAACAAATGAGTGCCGACAGAGACAGGCAACGATTGGCTGAACTGATTTCCAAAGGGTTTCCAAAGCGCATTTGGTCCTCCGTGGTGGGGTCCACCCCTTAGGGTCGGACCCCACTTGGCCACGAAAAGCGGGCAAGTTGTTTTGGAAAGTTTGAAAAGTATTTTTCCGGGACCCCACCGCGGCAAAGTGGTTGAAGTCCGAAAAAGGAAAGTGGTTGTTGTCCGGGAGGCTGTGGGTGGACCTCAGGAAATGGCCGTGCGACAATTCGCTCCAGGGTCACAAGCTCCACTGACTTTGGACGGTGCATGGACCTGGTTTTCGAAAAGTTCGAGACGGCTCAGGGGGTCAACCTCCGCTTTTGGCACAAATTTGCGGTGTGATTTCCTCCCTTTGCCGTTTTCCAGACCGCAGACAATGTGAAAACGTCCACAGGCGATCTTCCAGGTCACTAAATGCGGGCTGTGGGGTCCTGGATTACGGTTTTGGAAGACATTTCTGCCTTTCCATAATCTATTCCACGAGGTGAGGGGTCCCGGAAACACTTCCGCCGCAAACGTTTTCCTTTCCGCATTCCTGTGGGGTCTGACCCTTAGATAGAAAAACTGAGCATGCATTTGATTCCATCCCGATTGGAGGTTATCAGCTGTTCACCAGCAGTTACATCATCTTCATGTGTGTACCTATCAGGCAGATAGGCCCTGTAGTTCACGTGAGGCCTATCCAACGCGGGTCCCCCTTTCGCCCTGGTCCATGTTCCCACCTGATTGCCTCCCTCCTTCCCCCGGCCCTCCTCCCTTATCTTTTCGTCCTCTCTCCTGAGTCTCCTCGCTCCCGCTCCCCCCCTCCCCCCCGTTCCTCCCTCCTTGCCTCCTACCTTCCCCACCCTGCCTCCCTCCCGTCCCGTTCCCTCCCCCCGCCCTCCTTCCCCCTCCTCCATCTGCCCCCCCCCGGCCACCTCTTTTGTGTGTGTGTGTGTGCTTGCTGACCGTGTAGAGCCAGCACTTGTCGTTACTCTACCCCCGAGCAACCGAACTAAGCTATAATACCCCAGAGCAATGCCAAGTGCATTCTGTAATGTTGTACCTCCCGTAGGCCACTGGAAGATGCAGTGGATACGTGCAATTGACGAAAACAGAGCAACTCATGCAGTTGAACCGCAATAAATTCTGCCACCATGGAATCGATTCAAAGGACGTGGAAACTAGAGGGAGAAGGAACAACAGCGCTCATGAGAGAAGCAGTAGGCAGACGGAGTAGGCAGAAGAACGCCGGAGGTCCCGTTACAGACCAATAACACCCAGTTGAACCGGGAACGGGATACTCCCACATCTTCTTCACGGCCTATTTTAGTCATTTTCGGTTAGTTCGAGAGAGGAGGTCATTTTTACAGCCATCGTCCATCATCATCATCGTCAATTTCACTAACTGTCGCTTACGATCTCGTCCTCGCCTCCGTCCTCCTGTCTTCAGGGTCGTTGCCATAGATACCCTCGCCCTGATCTCCGTTAGTGCAAATTGCTGAAATAACTTTGCTACGATACTTGTCAGCATATTTGTCAGAATACATGGCAAGACCGGTATTTTTGCCACGATACTTCTCTGAACCGGTATATCTGCAATTTGTCCTGTCCATTACACACGCACACACACGCACACAGTGACTCACAGGTTAGCACACACGCACACGCACGCACACACACGCACACGCACACGCACACGCACACACACACACACACACACACACACACACATGCAGACAGGGAGAGGCAGACTGCCTGTTATAGGTCTTGCAGTTCGGCTGAAACATTACGACAATGCCCACACACACATATGCTAATGGTAGGCAAAGAAGAGAAGATACGACTGTCTATCATGTACCAGTATTTGTTGTTGTTGTTGTTGTTGTTGTGTTGTGTTGTGTTGTGAGTTCGGTCAACCATAGGTCAATCGCAAAACCAGCACGGAATCGCATACATGCAAGCGACTAACCAGAGAAAGAGATGGAAGCAACCCAATAGGAAGAAAATAACATTTAGTCCAGGTTCTTATATTATGAAAAATCACTCCGATACCAAAAAAGGAAAAAGGAAAAAAAATAAAATAATAAAATAAAAAATAAAAAAATTGTGAAGCACAAACACGAGGTGTCAATCGAAAAGGCCGAAGCTATAGCGCGACCGCAACATCACTCTGCTGGGACACCCCCCATCTACCAGTCTTTGTGTTCGTAGCCTGCCACCTATCGACCTACAATGTGACTAACTACTGTTCTGCTCTTTGCTGTGCATAAATCACTTCGTCCTCTCATTCAATCCAATCCTGCCTCCTCTGCCTTCCAGCATCCTCAGATACTCCTATGACTGCATCACGTGTACATGAGTTGTCGAGTAATGGACTCCGACAAACAACAGCGCGCGCGGTAGCTGTTCTGCGATTTCCTTCTAGCGGTTCTCGGTTCCTTTGAATCCTTTTCGAATGTCTGCTTCCCCTACTGTTCATGGATCTTAGTCTATGGGACCTAAAGGTGAGACTACCCGAAACCACTGACGAATGTCATTTACAGACAATTGCGCTTTTGCATCCACACGCAACCGCCCCAATACTCGGACGCGAGCGCGCAAGTGTGCACATAGGCAACCGCAAATTTACTTGTACATTGATCTAATTGAGTAACGCTGCGACGAGACTGCTTGTACATTGATCTAGTTGAGCAACGCCGTGACGAAACAATCCGTCACATTCCCTCCTCCCTCTCTCTTATCCCTCCTTCCCTTGTGTATGCTCATACCGTT